CCTCCTCCTCCCCCTCCTCCTCCTCCCCGCCACACACTGCAGGGGCCGGGCCTGGGCCTGGGCCGAACCAGCCAGCCAGCCAGCCAGAGGCAGGCCCCGGCCGCCCCCGCAGCTGCTGCGGAGAAGGGGGGCGGCAGGGAAGGAAGGAGGGAGGGAGGCGAGGGGGGATTCTACGGTGCTATCCCCGGCGAGGCGAGGCGAGGGGAGGACGGACGGACGGACGCTCCAGTCGTGGGTGTGCTGTGCCCGCGCTCTCCGCTCCCCCGCCCCGCCGGCGGCGGCCTCGGCCTCTCCGCAAAGCGCCCCCCCCCCACACACACACACACAGACACACTCCAGCGCCTCACCTGGTTATAAAACACCCGACATTCTGCAGTGCTGCCCCGACAGGAGAGCTCCCGCAAGCCCTTCTGGCTCGCAGGACACGTCGGCTTGCAGGATGGGGGCATTCGCTAGGACAGATGGATAGATCCAGACAGACAGACAGACAGACAGAGCAAGATGGGCGGCCGAGTTAGTCTGTCTGTAGCAGCAGCAAAGAGCAAGAGTCCAGGAGCACCTGATAAAGACTAACCTGGACTCTTGCTCTTTTCTACTGGGAGGGATGGATGGATGGATGGATGGATGGATGGATGGATGGATGGATAGATAGATAGATAGATGCACTTGATTTTGCACAGACTGTCAGGCGGGGACGTATAGGCTACTTTGCCTCCCCGGTGCAGCAGGAGTGCCGTGCCCTACTTGCGAGACCGGGTTAGTCCAGGATCCACAGCGCTCAGTCCTGCAGTCCCGTCCTGCGCACGCGGGAGCCGGCCCCCACCGGCCGATCGGCCTCGCCGCTCCCAAGTCAAGGTGCCCCCCATTCGCAACCCCCACCCCCCCCGACCCCCTTCGGCTCTCGGGCGACGCTGCCCCCCCGAGGAAGAGTTGGAGCAGCACAAGGAGAAGACTCTTATCTATCTATCATCATCAATCTCTCTCTCTCTCTCTCTCTCTGCCAACTCTGCACCCTTGTTCGATCCCCAAAGACCACTTTTAGGGCATTACAATATTTACATTCACCGCAATAACATATCTATCCCTATCTGCTTCTGTCAGTACAGTTGGTATCAATCTCCTCAAACCATCCAAAGCGGGATCAAATGGGTCCGGACACCGGAACAGCGGCTGGCCTGCAGGGAGGCTCTCGGGCGGCCCTTGGCAGCCCCTCGGCCGGTGGCTTTTGTCCCCTGCGGGCAGAAGCGCGAGCTGGCCCGGGCCCCGGCCGTGGTGGCACCTCCAGGCGGGTCGCGGGCCGGCCTGCTCGGAGGCGGAGGGGAGCGAGGAGAGGCGCCCCCTGGAGGGCTGCGGTGGAACCACCCGGGCGCCCAGCTGGAGGGGGAAGGTGGCGTGCTGGCGGGGGGGGGGGGGCCCCCCCCCCGCCCCGGGGCGCGGC